AAAAATATAATTATAATATAGTAATAAAAATTCCATGTTGAGTTTTTTTATTTGATCCACTGATTTAACTTAAAATAGTGTAACGTATATTTCACCAAAATGTTATATCTTAAAAATTTGAGCTCCTAGGCAAAAACTAATGCCATATTTGAATTCAGGGCATCAAATTCATATGAAATCAGCTCCAAATACCCCGGCACCAAAACAGCTGTTGGCCTGTGTTATTTAAAGGGTCGGTGCAGCACACGGATGTCGGTGCGGAAGGGTTAAAGCACAGCATAAGAAATTCATTTCTGAGAAGGCGAGGGGAGAGGAGGTAGAGAGTAAGAAACTGGTACGTGTGTGTATGCATGCCCATGCGCATGCATACACGCGTGAGTGTGTGGCGCGCATGCGTGGTACACAAGTTTAAATGGTATTCAGAAAGTACGTAGCACATCGACAAAGTAAGTTTCCCACTCGTCCCACAGCTAGCAAACCTTATATTGCGCGAAGCGACTGCACATACGTGATAGAGCAGTGATGTAGCATGGCGCATGCACTAATGGAATTTCCCACGTTCCCACAGTAGCATCATTGCAGCTGTTGAAGATGGAGGCTCTTATTCCAGCTCCTGCCGACCGTGAAGTGCAGTCAGTGATAAAGTTTTTGAATGCACAGAGCATAGGGCCGATCATAGTTCATTGTCAGCTGTGCTGGGTCTATGGGCCTAACATCATGAGCAAGCAGATGGTGTGTCACTGGTGCAGTTTTCAGCAGGTCGACAAAGTGTGCATGATGAGAAGCGCAGTGGGCGGCCATCCATCATTACAGACGACCTGGTAGAGCTTGTGCAGGAAGGCGTTATGGAGAATTGTCGTGTCACAATTATGGAACTCAGCAGTCATATCCCGTAGAATTCCCGCTCCTTGTTGCACGAAATTGTCAAGGAGCACCTGTTGTTCAGGAAATTGTGTGCCAGGTGGGTGCCAGAGCAACTGACACCAGAACACAAAACAAAGCACATGGAGTCAGCATTGACATTTCAGCAGCGGTACCATGATGACAGCGATGAGTTTCTGGACCGGATCATCACAGGTGATGAAACGTGGATTACACACATTACCCCAGAAACGAAGCAGCAGCCAATGCATTGGCGTCACAGTGGATCTCCCTGTAAGACGAAATTCAAGCAGATGTTGGCACGGAAAGTGATGTGCACGGTATTCTGGGACAGACGGGGCGTTCTCCATGTCGACTTCCTGACCAGAGGTGAGATGGTGAATGCTAAGCGTTACTGTGAAACACTGCAGAAATTGCGACGGGCCATTCAGAACAAGCAGCGCGTGATGCTTACTACCGGTATTGTCTTCCTGCATGAGAACGCTAGGCTGCACACGGCTCAACGGACAGCAAGTCTCCTGCAGGAGTTCAGCTGGGAGGTGTTTAATCATCCACCCTACAGCCTGGACCTCGCTCCCAGTGATTTCCATCTTTTCCTACACCTCAAGAAATTCCTGTCTGGTGAGCGTCAGCGTTTTGAGAATGACAGAGAGGCGGAGATGGTTGTCACACAGTGGTTCCAATCCCAGGCGGTAGACTTCTACGACACAGGTATTCAAAAGTTGGTCCCATGGTATGACAGATGTCTCAGTTCCGGTGGCAATTATGTTGAAAAATAGCTGAACACTTGCTGTATCTGTTTGCAATAAATATTTCCATGAAATTGTGTTTTGTTTCTGTAAATGGCCCCAGGGAAACTTACTTTGTGGACGAGCCTCATAATATGGTACCTGTAGGGAATAACTTGGTGCCAAGGTACCCAGTAACACACTTTTTGCATCTGACTTCACCAGTGCACTTCAAATTGTTATTCACTTTTCAGATATGTGAAGTGCAAGGTGGGAAAACTATCTGTTGTGTGCAAATGTTCTTTCATTCTAGGTGTTCCTTTCTTTTGACATGGTTTTCATTTAAAAAAAAAAGTGTTTTAATGCTTATTAAGATATAAAGTTGTCTATATAGTAAAAAGAAAAAATACTTGAAATCATAGAATTTATAGGTATGAAAGAGTATAATTCAAAATTCCCTTCTGTTTTTTGCTACAGAGAAGAGGCCCAAGAATACATAGAGATGGGTGCAATTAATAGTCTTTTTGTTCTTGGAAGAAGCATTGGCTTCATTGGTAAGTTTTAATTCATGTTCATAATATTTTGTACTGTTAATAATCATACCGGCCTAATGAATACTAGACATATGATATAGTCTCGAATTTGTGTGTGTTTAGATTGAAATACATGACAGAATATTTACTTTATAAATGGAGGTACCTCCATTTAATCTCAGCCAGTGCCAACAGTTGCTACTGTGCTTGTTTAGTCACAGTCATGGCTCAGCTGTTTTCCTTTCAGTATTATATCTCTTACTGATCCAGCACAATTATATTATAATGAAAAATATCTGAATGAAAAAAAGCTACAGATATACCGTAAATTAGGTTTTTCAGATATCAGAAATCCAGAAAGACATGTGACTTGCTATATGTAGAAAATATTCCTGACATTTTGTGTGTACACATAAAATTGTTTTTGAATCTTGGGCCATCCAGAAAGTAGTTGAAAGATCAGTAACAGGAAAGGAAGTATGACAGGCTTTTCTCTTGTCAACAGTCAGAGAACTGATGATTTTAAGAAACTGAATATGTCATCAGATGCTTTCAGAACTATAGAACAATTTGGAAATACAAATATTATGTTACTGGGCATTATCCAGCATCTGGAGACTGGATTTTTTATCTGTCTTCAGGTAAATCCTTCTCAGTTGGGCCCAGTTGATAGAACTAGTCCTTATCTCGGACACTTGCACCAACACATAATGGGCTATACAAAGCAAGTACAGCACAAACCATCTGCAAGCATTAAGATAAAACATTAAAAAAAAAACTCCACATGTATGAGGCCTAGCACCAATGCCCTGTCAGAATAGAAGTTATCACTGGAGAGATAAATTCCCTGTATGGTACCAACATGAAAACACATATTTTCTCACTTAATCTACACTGGACAGAGTTGTCATTTTTTTACTTCTGCTATGATAATGGAAGTCCAGATTGGAGAGATGTCCAAGCTGGCTTAATTGATCAAGTGGTCTGTCAGAGTCATGTGGGCAGATTCATTGTATTTCCTGTATGTGGTGTTTGATTCAGTGTGCAAGACCTTCGCTTCTTTCCAACTTATTTTGTGGCTTTCTTTGTATGTATGTTAAGCTAATTTTGTTATTTCAAGTAGACCCTATATCAGGTTAATTATATTTATGCTCCTCGATGTGTATGTCTGAAGGTCTGCTTGTTTCGCTGATGTAACATCTGCCACAGTCACAAGGGATGTTGTATGCACACTGCTTCATCTAATGGGCATCTATAACCAGTCCAGTTTTCATCAATGTCCCACAGAGTGTATGTTTAGTTTTGAAAATGATCCTGACACTGAAACGTTTTTAGTATTTTAAGGTTTTGTCTTAGCACTCCCAGGTGGTTTTTGCTGTGCTTGGCTTGTATATCTGATCTTGCGTTGATTCATATGTGTGGAGACAGACTATCGATTGGGCTCAACTGAGTAGGTTTTACCTGAAGATGGAGACAGAATCCAGTCTCCAAAACATTGTGTTTTAAATAAAAACAGGACAATTGATAATTCACTTCAGTTCAATTCTTTATTGTTTATGTGTTGAGCCAACAGCCGCAAGGCCATTTACAGACACAGCACAGTGTAGATAAATGTACAACTTTTTTATTAAAACCGTCACAACACAACTGTGTCAATGTCAGTGCCTAGTTTTGGCTCTGCTACATTTTTCGGCTATTAATAGCCATCATCAAGCAAATACATGGCTAACATATATGCACCACCGAACTGCAGTGTTAATAAAATTGGATACAGTAATATTAATATATTAAAATACTTGACGTACAAATACAATAAATTAGATATATAAAAAAAAACAAAAGTTATACTATAAAACAAGAATAAAATTCTTCAATTGATGCTTTACATCATTGAGTCAGTCGTTGCGTTTGTGATTTTGTTGTGTTCCCATGGACAAATTTGAGGATTCTATATTTTGTATGTACACGGTGGTTCAAATATGACCAGGACTGATTTGTGTGTAAACAAGCCGCACTGCGCAGCAGCTGTGTGACCTTGAGAGAGTGAAGCCACAACCTCCACCCTCCCTCCTGTTCAAGTTAGAACCTGTTCAGTCCTGCTTGGGAGTTGCTAGAGTGATGAGCGAAAAGAAGGTACCATGGAGCGTGGAACAACACATTGTGATCAAATTCCTCGTTGGAGAAAACGTCCTGTCCACTGAAATTCACCACAGACTCCAACAGCAGTATGGGGAAGAGGTTCTCTCACGGACCCATGTGTTTAAGTGGTGTAAGTGCTTCAGAGAGGGCAGAGAGCGCGTGGAGAATGAACCGCATGATCGTCGGCCGCGAACATCCATCACGGAGCCAAACATTGATCGTGCAGACGCGCTTATTCGTGAGAATAGGCACATCACTATCAAGGAACTTGGAGCTATGCTGTCCATCAGTGTTGGTGGTGTAGAAAATACCACCTGCACTATCACAAGGCAAATGCACGGTGGGTACGACACACTTTGACGGACGTGAACAAAATGGTGCACATGCAAGCTTCCAGTCATCTCCTACTGCAGTTTGAAGGCAAAGGTGATGCATTTTTGAAGTCTATAGTGACCACCGATGAAACTTGGATGCACTACTTCATTCCCGAGTCCCAGCAGTCATCATACAAGTGGCGGCATACCAGTTCTCCCAAACATAAGAGAGCGTGAAGGAGCCATTTGGCAGGAAAATTGATGGCAATGTTCTTCTGGGACTGGCAGGGGTTTATCCATGTAGACTTTCTGACAGATGCCAGAACAGTCAATGCAGCTTATGACTCAGACCTCCTGGCAACAGACGTGAAGGAAAAGATCTTATCCAAGCGGAAGACAGGTGGAAAGCAGGTAGCCTTCCTTCAAGACAATGCACGCCTCCATACGGATGAAACAACAATGGAAATCCTCCGGAAATTGAAATGGAATCTTCTGACACATCTGCCGTACAGTCCTGATTTAGCCCCAAGTGATTTCTACCACTTCGGAAGGCTCAAATCAGACTTGAAAGGCATGTGGTTTGTGGACAATGACGCCATCATCCGGACTGTTCGGGAGTGGATACGCCGCCAATTGCAAGCCTTTTTTGAAAAGGGCATCAGGATGCACCCAGAATGTTGGAAAAAATGTGTTGAGTCCGGAGGGGAGTACGTTGAAGACTGACATGTGCAAGTAAGTGTGTGGCAATTATGGTTTTAAAAAAATGTATCCCGGTCATATTTGAACCACCCTGTCTATAAAAAAACTGTTATTGGAGGCTCGTGATGTAGGTGTAGTAATATAAATGTTAATATTTAGTCGGTGCCTATCTTTCAAAGTATTGTCCATTCTTTATGGAATGTAAACAACGAGGTTTCTGGAATTCGTTATCCACTAAGCATACACCTGAGAGTAATTGTGTTCATTTTTTTCAGGCCATTATATGGATCAGAAACGTCTGAAGCAGGGCCTCTACCGCCACCCTTGGGATGATATTTCCTATGTCTTGCCTGAACAGTATAATAATTAAATGAAATGATAAATGCCATAGTTAAGATTTTAGTAGCTGCCACCAAAATATGCAGATCAAACATTTAAATTATAAATGTCCACATGCAGTAAACCAAATCATAATTCCAGGATGTTAATGAATGCACATTGTAGTAATGCCTTGCACTATATGGTGATGTAGGTAATTTGATTAATAATTTTTTACATTCTTTTTGGGTATTCAGATTAATAATGTTAAAGTTCAGAAAGGAGGCAATGCAGTGTTATAGTAACATGTTGAATGATACAAAACTTCTTTCAGAGGAAGATAATTCAACTTTGAGAAAGGTGCTGCTTTTATTGTAGCATGTTTGGGTACAGGTGTAACTTCTGTAGGTTACCAGGAATATGTAGAGAGGAAAATGTGCAGTCTAAAGGAAAAATATTTTTCACAATAATAAGAGAATGAACAACCAAATATTACAAATGAAATACAAGAAGATAATGTGGCTCTTATTTTATGTTCATCACTTGTGCATTATCTTTCATCACCTTATCAGTTTGCATTTTAATAAGTATAAAAGTGCATTTATTTATTATTAGGTATGTCTCAACAAAATTGTTTATTCTTACTGCAGGAATCAACTTTGTGTGAATTCAGTCTGTGATAGAAGTCCAGATTGAGAAAGATTTATGCAGATGTAAATAATGTATTTAGCCACTTCCAAGGGAAGGGCAGGGTGGCTTTATGGTGTTCTGTTTTACAAATTTCTAAATCCTAAGTTATAATGAGATATAGTTTACTACAGACTGTCACTGTGTTTTTATTTATATGCATCATTTTGATACTAAGGATGTGTTTTAGCGAGATCTTAGTTCCATAATCCAACTGCCAATTTGTAGTATTTTGAAGTGTGCCAAGAACTGGAAGATTCGAAACACAAGGAGAATTCACATTCCATATCGGAAATATTATACAGACTGACATACTTATTCAGGCACAGTGAATTGTCAGCTGGGTGACTTTCTCTGCCTTTACTAGATAATTAGTACTTTGCTTTCTGAAATTAAGTGTATAGGGCCTAATTTTGCTGTGGCTTGCATCTGTACCACATACACAAAATAGTATGGCCGATAATTTGATTGAACGGAAGTTCAGTGTCATGCCAGATAAACTGGTTGATGGGATACGTTCTAAGGCTTAATAAAGCAGACCATTCTAGTGTCATAGAACACCAGTTATTATAATTTACTGACATGCTTTGTTAGGTTCATGCAGTTCTTTAATGTGTATACATATCTGTACTGTTTAAGAACATGATAGAGTAATATTCATAATATTATTTTGTGTAATGTGATCTAAGAATGTGTAATAGACACACATATACTTCCAGTTTTATGTTAAATCTCAGAATCAGAATTTTTAATAATACTTCTATACTACTCGTGTGTTAATTACAAATGTAATTTTAGGATCAGCTGTATTATTTATTGTATTCATGTTATGTATGGACCCTTTTCGTTCGCCTGAGACTGTGGATGTGAAAGAGAATGTATGAATGCTATTTGGAAAGTAAATTCCAGTGAGCTGTTAACAAAACAAGCAATAAGGGAGAGAAAAAATATATATACAAAAAATACATACATACCTAAGCTACTTCTCAGTCTGGTCACTCCTGGAATTGAGGCACTTGTCATATTGGGGAATAAGTTTTTGTATGCCTGTGTCAAAGAAGTGAGCCTGTGAGCTGAGCCACGTTTTGACACCTTCCATCAACTCCTCATTATTGCTGAAGCACTGTGATCCCAACGGGTAGGTAAACAGGTGCTAGTTGCTCAGAGTGAGATCAGGGCTGAAAGGAAGGTGATCAAAGAGCTCCCAGTGGAAATGTTCGAGTGTGAGCAGCTGTATGCAGACACACATTGTCCTGAAGGAGCACTACACCAAATGTCAGCATTCCACATGTTTTGTTCTAAATGGCTTGCCATATGCAGTTTTTTTAGTGTTTTCGCAATACACTTTTGACATTATTGTCGTCCCTTGTTGCATGAATTCCACCATCAGCACTCCTTCCTGTTCCATAAAACAGCCCCATGCAGTTTTTCTAGTGTTTTACAGTATACAACATGGGTCACAGATGGCACACTTCTTTGACACAGGTGTGCAGAAACTTATTTCCTGATATGACAAGTGCCACAATTCTGGTGGTGACTACATTGAGAAATAGCTTAAGTATGTATGTATTCTGTATGTATAATACAATTTTTTCTTCATTGCTTATTATATTAATAGCTCACCATAGGTTACTTTTTGAATAGCCCTCATATATAGAACCATATGACATTATTTTGGAATACATTAAAATTCTCTCAAATATTCTGCATTTTGATCTGAAAAATTCAGCCATATTTGCAGTTTTCAGACAGTGTCTGATATCACCCCATGTCAGGACCATTCTCTTGTGTCTGTAGACATTCCATTGTATTTAAGCTTATTAAGAACCATGCTGGTTGACTCACTGCCGTTTTACTTGTTTTGGGGATATGCCTGTGTTGAATCTTTGACAGAGAACCATGTAACCTGACTTAGTTTTCAGTCTGTATAAATTAATTGTGGGGTAGCAGTTTCAAATAGGTCATGGTTGCTTCCACTAGAATCCATCTTTAGTCAATGTTCACAATTATCTTCACATCTCATCCTATCTAGCCCATGTAGTTTAAATGGCTTAGAGACCATGATGGTCTAGCAAATGTAACTGTCCAAGTGATAGGCTTTGAATTGTTATTTTGCCTTTCAGTATACATGACTTAATAGTGTCTATTTATTGTATGTACATATGCAGCATACAGTATTATTAAGCAACCCCCCTCCCCCTCCGCATTGCAGTTTTCCTAAATCACAGGGTCAGCTTTAACCAAAATCTAATCCGCATTCTCACTGAACTTTCATGCCAAATATCTGTTACTACTGTGTACCTAGTACAATAATGTGCGAGTTATATGCAACCAGTTTAATTTTTATATTGTATACTGATTTTCCTTTTCCATCAGACTGGCTCATTTCCTTTCCCCTGTATCTCATCTAGAGAATTTGCTACTGCAAATGCAATGCCATCTTTGTCCCCAGCTTACATTCTCTCATCCTTGTTCCTGGACATGAACAAAAGTCAATTTGTTTGCAGCCACAGTGACAACATTACATGCTGCTTTGCATTTTATACTCTAATACCATGAATGGGAGGCCTGAAAATAGAAACATCACAATAAATGTAATTGAAATTAGAACACACATTATGCATGGATGACTGTAGGACTCCTTTGAAAGTGACAAAGATATACACAGAAGGTGGAAATTTCAGTGATGATGGTGATGATAGTAGTGACAGCAGTAAAATGTATTACAGTTTATAAAGACATAAGTCATAAATCCATCAGCCACGAGAAGGTAGTAGACAGTGAAACATGCTTCAAACTCATCCAACAAAAGATGTTCATGATTCAGTCACTTAAAATAGTTACCATGATGAAAGCCTTAATGTCAAACTAATGTATATGTGTTCCTGTTTAAACATCCTGGCCTCAAAGTCAGGTACAAATTCTTTTTTAAATATTATCAAGAGAATTCTGATTTATTGCTGGATTCCCTCAAATCAGTGTGTGTTCAAACTGAAGACTATGTGACTGACTATGACTACAGCTGAAGTGTTGGTCCAAGCAAAGAAGTTTTACAGGAAAATAGAATGGATAACTAAAATTTGTGGTGAGTTGATGACGTTAACAACAGGATGGTTCTAACAGAAAGCCATGGCACACAGGAGAAGCGAATTTCACACTTGAGGGCTTTAATCAATTTAAGAAAGAAGGCAGGAGTATTGTTTGTGTGTTATACGTAAGGTCTTCACATATGAAGAACAAGTCCTAAGTGATGACGGCAGTGAGGGCTTATTGGCATTTTTATTTAAAGACCAAAATGGCATTATAATTCATGTCGGGAGAGGAAAATGGATGAATGTTTTGCTTGCATGAAAGTTAGTACAGAATACAGGTGAGTGACGTTCTCTGGTGAATAAAAATAATTATGATAAATGTATGAAAAAGAAACTAATTCCAAATTCTGTAATAATTTTAAATATTGTGACTTAACCACCTTGTTCTGATAGAGCACGACTACTACTTCCTCTAGGTCAACCCATCCACTCACTAACTGAAGAAAAAAGAAAAGAGTGGTTGGCAGAAAGACGTACTCCTTTTCATATGAAATGTTAGAAACCTCTGTTATATGCCCTCAAAATTGCACAGGCCAAGAATTAAAAAGTGCCCTGTTAGTGAAATATTTAAGACCTATGGCCGAAGTGTTCAGCTTCTGTTACCTTTTGATCCAAATCTGAAGATAAATATTGATCATGGGTGAATGGATGTGTAGGATATAGGAACATTCAATTTATTATTTTGGATCTACATACACTTTACAAGGAAAAGTTCCAGCAGCTGGGAAAGATGACTGGCTACTGTTGTATGAACACAGAGAACTAGATGGTAATCTATCAAATATGAATCATCACTATAGGGACAAGTATATATCCAATAGTTTGCGATTATGGATTGCTGCAACTGGGACTAAATTTATGCTGCCTTACATACAGCAAATGTATGTGAAAGGATGGAATTCCAGTGATTTTTGCAAGCAGAATGATGGTGATATGTTGCATTCTTGTTTTGAGAATATGCAAAATGTTGCAAGTTTATAGAGTTTCATAAAGCACTTCATATAAAATGAGGGAATTAAGTTGTTGAATGTTTAAATACTTAACATATTTTAAAACTTTCAAACCTTTTTGAAAATAAAATTTCCGAAATCCACCCACATATTTAAATCTCTGAAAACTTATGTATGTAGAAAGTTTTCTTTCTTTCTCTCTCCCCCCCCCCATTTTGTGTGTGTGTGTGTGTGTTAACTTTTAATGACATTGAAGTGAACGTCCTGAGATGAGCTGGCGATGACACACACACAGTTTCGTCCCCTGGCATAACTTTAGCTCTGGATGATAAATGCATATGGAGGAGTTAGTGGAATGAGAATTCAAGGTATTCTGAAGAACGCTGTAAAGTACATGTGCAGGAAACAGACTAGATGGTGTAATATGGTTGGTGTTTATGATAGGTTAGATCTTTTTGATTTTATAGTAGTAATATACATGTTGTTTTCAGTGCATGCATTTAGCTATTGTTGGCGGAGAAAAGGTTTGGTACATGTAAGCCAGTTGAGTTATGATTATTATGATGCACTACGTTGTGTGGTTAGGATAGTAGTTAATCTTCTTACCGATTGAGCTCTTGTCAGTGTCACTATGGCTATTTGGTAACAGTTTTAGTATAGGTGAAATAGATGGCTGTGTACTGCTTGCATGAAATCACGGCGGCTACGAAGCCAGTAGCATTGAGTTGCACAGCTAAGTTGTATCAGTCATTACGGTCATTACATTACGACTTGTTATCTGTGATCGACCGCAGCGACGGTGAGTTGCAAACATGGCTGGAGCCGGCAGGTCTGGTGGGTCGGTATTAAGCCAATTGGCATATTCTTTAGGAGCCCCTGAACCAGCACTTCGTTTATTGGTGTCAATTCTGTTAGGTAATGTAGAAGTACAAGAGTGTCATGTGAATTTGATCATATATAGGTGTAGAGTATAAGTAATTTGCAAGTAAAACTTTGTGACAGGAGGTTATCTTGAAGTTTTTCGTGTGCATCGAGTATAGTTTCTGTGGTACCCACTGGATTAATTGAATGCTTGGAACGTAATTTCAGGTTATCCACTGGCTTTAATACACAGATACACTTTGTTTGGACAACTTCAATATCAACACCTCTTTTTTGTAGTGAGTGGTTTAAGTATTGGATACTTCAATTATGGTAAGTATCAAGGACTTAGTTTTATTTGTTTAGAGGTGATCACATGGGAGTCGGTATCGTCGGTATAGCAACGGGCGACTGGTTCAATTCCCGGAAGTGCAAGATTTTTCCCTTCACTGCAGCGTCCAGACAGGCTTTAGGGGTTCACCTAGACTCCTTTTTCAATGGGCACTGGAGGTTCTTTCTCTGGGGTAAAGCGGCAAGAACAAGGAGGCCTACCACCTGTGAAAAAATGATTATGAAACTGAATAAGAGGCCTGGGCCCTGAATGGCCTGGAAGAGCCACTGAAAGAAAAGTACATTATAATACTATTTTGAATTGTCTCATTCTGGTCTGCTGCACTATTAAGTTAGAAAATTAATAGAAGTTTCCGTCCAGTGCGGCAATATAGGTCACATCACTTTTATTATTCTTGCCTTACATGTTTCGGTTTAAATAAACCGTCATCAGAGGCACTTTTCATATGGCAGGAGACACTGTTGATTAAGCTGGTTTGATGTTCACTTTCAGTTGTGTTATTCACAGATGTATGTTTCGTATTATTGTAGGTTTTAGTTACGATGGCACTCGTCGTATAAACATGCAGAATAATTGAGTATGCCAATAGGCTATACGCAGCACAGAAATTATCACTTTTCCCACAGTAGATTTCTTATGTTTGGATTAATCACTGTTAAACTATTTAAAATTTAATTCAAGTTGTCGTAAGTCGTCGTTGGTTGTCAATTCTTCCCGTGTATGGGAGTCGTCATTCTTGGTGGTCTGTGGGCTTATACGCGTTATAATGTTACGTGGGTGCTGTGTCCTTTGTCCATGGGAAGAATTGACAACCAACAACGACTTACGACAATTTGAATTAAATTTTAAATAGTTTAATCATGATTTTAACCAAACATAAGAAATCTACTGTGGGAAAAGTGATAATTCCTATGCTGCGTATAGCCTATTGGCATACTCAATTATTCTGCATGTTTATGTTTTTATACAACAACGAGTGCCATCGTAACTAAAACCTATGACAATAATACGAATCATACATCTGTGAATAACACAACTGAAAGTGAACATCAAACCAGCTTAATTAACAGTGTCTCCTGCCGTATGAAAAGTGCCATGTAAGGCAAGAATAATAAAAGTGACGTGACCTCTATTGCCGCACTGGATGGAAACTTCTGTTAATTTTATACATTATAATAGTGTTACAGTAGTATTTTTTCAGGGATAAGAATCTAATCTGATTATCTGATCCACTTTTTTCACCAATTAATTTGGATAATTGTTGTTCTACTGTACTTGCAAGCATTGCTACGTAAAACTGAATTTATTATTAACTGATATTGGAATTTAGTAAACTGAATATAACATTTTGAATAAAATATGACATGGCAGTTTATACCTCTTCTTTAATTTTAGGTTGGGAGATTTTACATTCAGTCACATCAGTGTTGGTTGTATATGGCATCTTGAGAATCATTGGTGGCACATTAATCTCTGTCATATGTGTCTTTATATTCACAATGGCCTATCTTCTAGCTGGTGAGTTTTCTGAAGATGATAACAATGTTATTAATTTCACTGTGTGATATTTATATGGTACATGTAACAATTGCATGAAATTTTCTTGTTAGGGGCAAAATAGAATTTCAGCAATTTTTCATGGTTCTGCTGCTGCGTTCATGTTGCTGGCATCATATTTAATATGTTGTCAGTCTGTTCTTAGGCATTGTGCTAATCAAAATTCCTAAGGATACTGTACATTCTCATTAGAACAAAAATATTTTGAAAGGCTGTCCAGAAGGTTGTAACTACTTTTTATTCGTCATAATTTTCTACTGATCCACACTAGATTATAGTTTCCTTGTGGCTGATTTGGTAATTATATAATGCATAAGTTTTGCTTAGTACTGATATTATATAGTCTTAATTGGCCACGCTGTAGCTCAAGCAGTTAGTCGCTGGCTTTCCACTGTGGCGGCCCAGGTTCGATCCCTGTTCTGGTCAAGTGGGATTTGTGATGGACAAAGTGGCACTAGGGCAGGTTTTCTCTGGGTACTTTGGTTTCCCCTGCCAATCTTCATTCCACCAAATTCTCTGTCATCATAATCAATAGGTACAATAGGCCAATCAGTGGCCGTCATGCCGAGTGGACCCAGTTGGACTCCACCCCCCACTAAGCAAATCACAGCTATATGCAGATACCAAATGTTGTGGTTGAGCAGTCAGCACACCTGCTTCAGATTTGTGAGGTCCCATATTTAAATCTCACCTTGGGTACCAGTTATCATGACACGTTTTATGTTGTTTTCACCAATTCCTCCAGATAAGTGTGGGGATAGTATCTCAGATCAGGCCATCATGATCTCTTCCTTCCACAGCGTTTCCATTCTTTATTCATCAGGCCATGATCTCTTCCTTCCACAGCATTTCCATTGCTTTATTCACTAATCCTGTCATTTAAAACTGTATAATCTGAAATATTGTCTTTAAATAAACCAGAAATGAAGGAATAAGCAAGTGCAAATATGTGACATGCTTCATGTAATCCATTTGTCCAGCAGTGCACTACTCAAGCCTACAGATGTGTTGTGATATATTGTCTGTAGTATATTATTAGCTCTGTAAAATTTTAATTATGATTTTATTTTAAAAACTGATTATTTTATTACTTTATGTTATACCTCATCCTAATCCTGTATATTTTCTTGATCATTACAAGATGTTATGTGATTAGAACTGAAATATGAAGTATCCAATGGATAACAGAAAAATTTGTTTAATGTGTTAATGTGGAACTTAAATAAACAGTTAATTTTTATTTTATTTATTCATTGGTTTATTTATTTTATTTTATTTTTCCTGATAAGCCATATTTCGAAGGATGCTCAGAATTATTAGACCAAAGGAAACAAGCCAAACTGCAGTGGTCACAGTCTCCACATGAAGTAAATGGGGATAATCTGAACGGTATAACACGTGAAACCAGCAGGCATTTCAAGAATAAAAAGAGGGAATTTCTGAAAGACAAAATGGATGAGCTTGCAACGAATAGTAAGAACAAGAACATTAGAGACCTGTACAGAGGAATAAATTACTTTAGGAGGGCTTACCAACCTAGAATTAACTTAGTGAAGGATGAGAATGATGATCTGCTTGCAAATTCCCACAGTATTTAGAATAGGAGGAAGAACTACTTCTCTCAGTTATTGAATGTACTACATATGGTCAGTGATGTTAGGCAGATAGAAATACAGTCAACTCTCGATTATCCGGGGGCGGATTAACCGGTTTGCGGCTTAACCGGGGCTTTTTTTTTTAAGTTTATATGTTGTTTAATATTCATTCACTTTTGTTTCACATGGTGAGTTTAACACTATTTTCGCACTAGTGTGAACCGAGCTCTGCATTATTTCGTCCCGTTATGCGAACACAATGTTCTAGGGTGGGGGTGAAAGAATGCAAGAATTTTTGGAAAGTTTCAAGGACAAATACACCGCCCCAGGTTATTTAACGGTACCATCTCAGTGTGAGAGTGCATTGTGAAAGTAAGTATCAGTTTCTTAATATAGATCTTCAAGTGCGTTAGCAAAATGTCGGGGTTTAAAAGGAAGCGTGTTGTGTTAAGTATTCAACAGAAACTTGAAATTATCAATCAGCTGGAAAAAGGAGCTGTAGTTAAACAATTAGCAATGCAATACGGTATTGGAGAACAAACTGTTCGTGATTTGAAAAAACAAAAGAATGAGTTAATTTCCTTTGCTTCGTCTTCTAATTCAAGCGGAATGAAGAAGAGAAAAACCATGAAGAAATCAACATACGATGATCTCGACAAAGCGATGCTGACCTGGTTTAATCAACTAAGGGCACAGGGAACAACAATAACAGGACCAGTTTGTGCTAAACAAGCTAAATATTTTTTCGAAGCACTTGAACTAGAAGGGAGTTTTGACGCTTCTTCCGGTTGGCTAACACGTTTCAAGCAGCGTCATGGAATACGAGAAATCAGTATTCAAGGTGAGAAATTGTCAGGGGACTTGTCAGCATCAGATCAATTTTGCACCAATTTTGATAGTTTTGTGAAAAGTGAAAATCTGCTGCCAGAACAAATCTATAATGCCGATGAAACGGGTCTTTATTGGAAATGCTTGCCAACCAGAACATTGGCATTTCAAAATGAAAGACAGGCTCCAGGTCACAAATCCAGTAAGGAGAGATTGACAGTCTTGTGCTGTTCTAATGCATCAGGAACACACAAACTAATACCAGTAGTTATCGGCAAAGCGAAAAGACCACGCTCTTTTAAAGGAACAGTAGCTTCAAGTCTGCCTATCCATTATTTTAACCAGAAAGTAGCTTGGATGAATAGAGCGATATTTAAAGAATGGTTTGATTTTAAATTCGTGCCTCAAGTTCGTGACCATCTAAAATCCCAAGGCCTACCTGAGAAAGCTGTGCTCCTCATTGACAATGCGCCCTCACATCCTAACGAAAGTCTCCTGAGGTCAGATGATGGAAATATTTTTGTGAAATATTTTCCCGCTAATGTTACCGCACTTATCCAACCAATGGATCAAGGAGTTATCTCAAGTATGAAGAGAATCTACAGATCAAATTTGCTACAAAAGTACATCGATGAAGGCAATGATCTGACGTGTTTCTGGAAGTCCTTTTCAGTATTAGATGCCATATACGAGATTTCAACAGCGTGGGATACAGTAAAGCCATCTGTATTGAAAAATTCATGGAAGAAACTGATGCCTTTCATCACTAATGAAGATGACGAAATCCATGGATTCACTGGATTCAGTGAAAATGAGATAGCCATAAAATTGACAAAAGTGGCTAACCAAGTTCATGGTGGTGAAGAAGTCAACGAGGAAAATATAAGAGAGTGGTTTAACTGTGACTCGTGTGAACCGGGCTTCGAAATGTTAAGCAGTGACGAAATCGTAACTTCAATGGGGGTGCAGCCAGAAGAGCGGGAAGAAAGTGAGAATGAGGAAGAGGTGGACAGTGTTGCCAGTAAGAAAGTATCACATGGTGCTGCGCTTAATCATTTGGAATCCTTACTAGACTATCTTGAGAGTGAAGAGGACAGTTTATTAAGTGACAAGCTAATATTACGTAGGCTTCGTACGGATATCCGTAAAAAGGAAAATGCCGCGAAAAAGCAAAAGACAGTATTAAATTATTTTAAGTGTTAAGTGTGACCGTAAAAAGTGCTGGATGTTGTTGAACAGTGATTGAAATAACTAATTCATACTGAGTGTAATGTAAAGAAAGTATTAAATAGGCCATGAGATGACATAGAAATGAGGATGAATAAATTTAAATACAGGTAGGTCTATAGTATTATGAAGGTATTAAAAGGTAAAAGGTAAAGTTGTTCCTCTGCTCAACGAATTAAGCCCTACGCCATTAAGGCGTGTGGGGGAGTGGATGTATAGATCCAAATTTTCTTGACCTCGGCACTAGTTGGAGGTGAGTGGTCAGCTTCACGCCCCGGCCGCTTTACCCCCGGGGAAAGAGCCCCCGGTACCCATTGGATAGGAGGTTGGATGGACCCCAGAGCCGGTCTGGACGATTTGGAGAAGTTAAAATTCTTGACCCTACCGGGACTCGAACTCCGACCCTTCACAGTCGTCCAGCCCGTATAATAAAATTTGGCTTAACCGGGTTTTCGATTAACCGTGACTTCCATCCCCACCATTAGCCCGGATAATCGAGAGTTGACTGTACCTACAGCTGAGCCGTTAATACCCGATCCTAGTGCTTTGAGGTTGAAACTGCTATTTCAAAGTTGAAAATGTATAAATTGCCAGGTAATGATCAAATTCCAACAGAACCGATTCAGAAAGGAGATGAAACAATAATTCTATCTGGAATAAGGAAAAATTGCATGATCAGTAGAAGGAGTCTATTATTGTACCAGTTCACAAGAAAGGCGATAAAACTGACTAATAATTATTATGGGATATCACTGCTATCAACTTCGTACAAAGTTGTATCCAATATTCTTCTTCCAAGGTTAAGTCCATACATAGATGAAATTATTGGGGATCATCAGTGTGGGTTTCGAAGTAACAGAGCAACTACAGATCAGATCCTTTGCATTTGTCAGATACTGGACAAATACTTTCCTATCCAGAATGGTCTAGAACGAGATGTTTTATTGTCACTGCTTTTCAACTTTGCTTTAGAATATGCCATTAGGAAGGTCCAAGAAAACCAGGTGGGACTGAAATTAAATTGGAGAAATAAGCTGCTGGTCTGTACTGATGATGTGAATCTACTGGGTTATAAGTAAAGAAAAACACAGAGACTTTAATTGACTGTAGTAAGGTTGTTGGTCTAGAAGTAAATGCAGAGAAAACTAAGTATATGTTGCTGTCTCATCACCAGAATGGCGAGTAAAATCATGTCGTGAAGATAAATAACTGGTGCTTTGAAAATGTGGCACAGTTCAAATATTTGGGACCAACAGTAGCAAATCAAAATTTGATTCAGGAGAAAATTAAGAGGAGATTGAATTTGTATAATGCTTGCTACATTCAGTCCAAAAGCTTTTGTCTTCTCAGCTGCTGTCTAGAAACATAAAAATTAGAGTATACAAAATTATAATTTTGCCTGTGGTTCTGTATGGCTGTGAAAGTTGACCTGTGAGATTAAGGGAGAAATAGAAACAGAGGATGTTGGAGAACAGGTTGCTGAGGAAAATGTCTGTACCAAAGAGAGATGAAGTGATGGGAAGTTGGAGAAATCTGCATAATGAGGAGCTTCATAACTTGTACTCTTCTCCAAGTGTAATTAGAATGACGAAGTCAGGGAGGATGAGATGGGTAGGTCATGTAGCACGAATGGGGGAGAAGAGGAATTCATTAAGGATATTGTGGGAAAGAGGCCACTAGGAAGAGAAATATGTAGATGGGCAAAGAATATTAAAATGGATCTTGGAGAGAGGAGATGGGTTGGTGTGGACTGGATCAATTTGGCTTTGGATACGGACCAGTGGGGTGCTCTCGTGAAAATGGTAATGAACCTTCAGGTTTCATAAATTGTTTTGTAGTTTTTTGAGTACCTGCATAATTGTCATCTTCTCAAGAAGGACTGAGCTTCAAGAAGTTAGTTAGTGACACCTAATTACATGCATAATTACACTGTTAATAATTCTTTAGCAGTTGTACAATGTTTAGAAATAGGCAAACCCACACTAAACTCAAAATATTGTCGCATGTCTGATGAGAGCCTGAATTCTGAAGCCAGCAGAGACGGTCATTGCTTGGGAACAGTTCTGTAAACACAACTGTTGCTAGGCTGTAACTCAGTGGACGTCATGTGACTACCTGCAGACTGCCTATCTCAGAACTAACTCAGAGCCCCAATTGGCTTTCCTTATAAAGCCTCTGCACAGACCCAGTAGAGAACACTGGTTCCAACGATTCCTCTATTGTTGCATGCATAATGGTCGCCACAGTATAGTAACATATCTGTTGGTGTCATCCCATGTTTACAGTGCTGTAACCTAGCAACTTGGGTCTTCTTTGATTCAACTATTCTGGCTTCAATGGACATGCCACAATATATTAATTGAACCTGCTCACACTGAGTACCAGGTGGGATTGGGTTCCGTAATAGGAAGTTTCTTGGTCAGCTGAAGAGCTATCAACCATTCAAATAAGTTCCAATATCACATACCTATGGGTAATTCATGGTGTCGATTGGGCTTTCATAGGCAGATCAGAGAGAGGGAAAGTTGAAAAGTACATTTGCATCACTGCTCTCCCTCCTTAAGGCTACTTGTCCCAAGTAGCTTACATATGTATTGCCCAAATTGACACACCCACATGCAGACGCGCACACAGAAACACAGCACTGTATGAAATATACAGTAAGACACATTACTGTAGTCTGTTAATCATATATTAGTAATATAAGTGCTTCAGCTGAGAAGTAGGTGTAAATCAAACAAATTCTTTCCTTGGCAATTTAAATTATTTTCTGTTAGTGAATAAACATTTCATTTTGAGAGGTAATTTGCTGTATAGTTTAATCCCAAAATAGTAAAGCTAATAAATAAATACCCATTGGCTAGAGTTAATGTGCAGAATTTCTTATGTTTTCATTTATAAGCATATGCCATACTTCTCTCTCTGCAATATTTGTAATAACTTTCTGTCTTATAACTGTTATAGATGATGTATCTGCAAATTCTATGGATGCATTTCATGTACTTAATATTCTGTTCCTACCTCACTGAAAACACAGTTTTCCCATTACAAATATTATTTAATGCTCTTTAGGAAAATAGTCACTGTTTATTCCTCTAATTGTTTAAAAATCCATAAATACTCTGTTTGCAGACTGCAGAGCTCTTTGATGTTAAAGCTATAGGAGCATGTAATGAAATACCTACTGTGCATGAGAAGTCATTCATATAAATGGCATTTGTTACGAGGGACACAGTAAGGCAGCCATAATTTTTAATGTGTCTCATACAACACCACATACAAAAAAGAACTGAAAAATAAGTTGGTCAATTTAAAATTTAGTTTCTTGGCATCCTTTTTGTGTAATTGCCAAAAGGCTTTGTTAAAATATTTCACAAAGAGCCACATGATCAAAATTAGGCTCAAGCTCTTGCCACTTTCTTTTTCAGCATGTGGAACCTTTTGAGCCATATTTGAAGTTTACTATTCAGTCCTGTGCATGTAAATAATATAAAACTAAAATAAAATAAATTTTAATTAGAGCTGAAAGTGCTGCACAGTGTCATCTAGTATCCACTGAAGACATTTTGCTCTGCATTTTGAAGTTTATAACTTTAATTATTCTATACTGCTGTTGTATTTATTTTACTGTTTTTTTTTTTAGTTCTGCTATGCTTTATTCTGTGAATTGTGTTTAAACATAGAACATAGGTGAAGAATTGTTGTTTATTGTGATGACTTCAAAACTACTGTGGTGTGTCAGTATTCTTGATCCTGTCTTTGTCAGATGATAATCACTCTCTTCTGTTTTAGTTTAATTTTTTGCTTTTGCTATGGACATAGATACAGCTTGAAATACATCACACTTACAAAGCCAAGGCTATGAAAAATGTGCCAGACATTAAAGATTCACTTTATATGTATAGAATATCTGGATATTTGTGCCAGTGGCCTAAAACTTGAAGTTCCTAGGTGAACATAGAGAAGAAGATAACCCTTGATATAATTTTGATGACACGTAATTTACACGAGAAACAAGATTAATGTTGGATGTGATGCGGCAGCATGGTGTTTGTGCCCATAATCATGTTTTCAATCATGTTGGTCAAAAGTTTATCAAGAAAATTTTTCTCCATGTGTTTATCCAGGAACTGCATAGTGGATTCTGTAGGTGTGGATATCCACACAGTTTCACTACATTGTGTTAAACTTCAATAACTTTTTCTGTGAAAACTGTGTCACTCAAAATTTTATCAGGGATATTTTTGTAGGTGTGAATGCCTAAATAGCCTGTACATTGTTTTTGCTTGTAGTGTAATATATGATTGATTGGTAAATTTACTTTTTAAATGTTCAATAGGAACAGGAATTTAAGCAAATTTATCAATGTATGGACCTCAGGTAACATTTCTGTATTAATATTTTTGGTAATTTTGTATCATTTGTAAGTTGGACATTAGATGAATACCTTGCTGGCCCCCGCCACTGATCATTTCAACTTATTCTAATATGGAAACTCAAGTGAGGGTATGTTGTAACATTGTGTGTGAATTCTGTATCATGAGATTATATCATATCAGGCACTACACCAGAGTGGATAAGTCCCCTTCTTTCCTTCCTTCCCCTTGGTGCTACAGTTCAGGGTGAGCCTTTGCCTCCTGAACAATCTGCCTCTATTCTTCTCTATTCTTCATCTTTCCTCCCCATCCTTCGCTGATGTCAGTTTCTGTTCAGTCCATCAATCTGAGGCTGATTATCTGTTTTCTGAACAATTTATTTTTTATGGTGTGAGGTTGTTAGCCTCACGCCCAACCCCCAACCTGGAGGACTAGGGTATCCCTCTTCGTCTGGCTCCTACCGATTCAGCTGTCCAGCATGGGTGACCTTACTAGTACGTATGCTACTGCTGGCATAGCTCTCAGGGTCTCAGGAGTACTCAAACCCCACCGCTGTGATAAGGTGGAGTCACCATCAGTGTGGACATCAGTCCCCACTATATTATAATGAATTGTAGCAAGGTATGAATTTCATTGTACATGTAATGTCTGATTTCAGGTTATTATATGACTGGCACAGAAACATATGATATTAAATGGAGTATGCCACAGTGTGTCCTCACACTACGATTAATTGGCTTAGCATTTGATCTCTTTGATGGGAAGAAGCTGGATGTAAGTTTTATAGTTCTTATCTAAGAAGCATATTTGCCCAGTAGAACATTCAAACCCACATTAATGCATGTTGTCATATGATGGATTGACTATAAATTGAGGTTTGGATTGGTAATTGGATATATTGAACTCTTAACAGGTACGTGTCTACAAGTAATTATAACCGTTGCATTAATTCTCACATTTTACTGTTCTCCAGATTACCAGTTGAGGCAAACATTCCCAAAATGTTTACATATTCACTTCTTTAACTAATCCTGAACTGGAAAAATAATTCTTGCACTTGCCTAATAAAAACCTCTTAATGTCTAATATAATTATCTTGTTATGTAATATTGTTGTTTAATAGACACTGTATTTTTATGTGCTGTTATTCCTGCATATGGGCGCACACAAACAGAACTACTGTCACATACAAAGTTGTTTTGTATTCAGGAGGAACTGTCCCAAGAACAGAAGAAGACAGCGCTGTCCAAAATACCATCTTTGCTTGAGGTTGCTGGATACACATATTTTCCAGCTAGTTTCCTGGTTGGCCCACAGTTTCCCATGAAAAGATATCAAGACTTTGTTGCTGGAATTTACAGACATGGGACAGAGGTATAACAGTATTCCTATATTAGTTGTTGCTTTTAAATTAATTGTGTAAGGCTTGTTCAGTAAACAGTAGAGTAACTTGTATATTTCAGTGGTAGTCAGAACTTGTTGAAAAACACAGAAACTTTAATTGACTGTAGTAAGGATGTTGGTCTAGAAGTAAATGCAGAGAAAACTAAGTATATGTTGCTGTCTCATCACAAGAATGGAGAGTAAAATCATGTCGTGAAGATAAATAACTGGTGCTCTGAAAATGTGGCACACTTCAAATATTTGGGACCAACAGTAGCAAATCAAAATCTGATTCAGGAGAAAATTAAGAGGAGATTGAATTTGGGTAATTCTTGCTACATTCAGTCCAAAAGCTTTGTCTTTTGTCTTTGCCACTTTCTCCAGGCCAAAAATATGGTGTACTTTTTATTTCACCTTCTCACACACAACTTAAAATCATAAAATTCACCTTTAATTTTAAAGCGCTGGTGCACTACACGATATGGTCATCATCAGGTGGTATGAAATTGATGATTTAAACTGCTGCGCTTCCATCAAATTATATGTACAAATTACACATAAGAAGAATCACCCAGCACCACAAATGCACGATACATGGGCCCATAAAAAGAAGGTGAAATTCAGAATTGCATACATTGATAGGAGTGCAGCAGTTTCCAAAATAAGTTTCAAAGCACCTGATGATGGCTATGTAGGTCAAAGCATGTAGTGCACCAGTGATTTAAAATTCAAAGTGAATTTTAAGATTTTAAGTTGCATGTAAGACAGTGAAATGAGAAGTGAAAGCAAGTGGCATGCAACTGGATGCTGTAGTACAATAATATGGTGTACCACTTAATCAGGTGTGTTAGTATGCTTTCTTTAAATCAGACTATTGTGAAATGCAAGAAATATTTACATTTTAAAAGAGAAATCACATTTTGTTGTATCTTGAATAGTATGCGTGTACTGTCATTAGGGTCAGAATGTACCATGCAAGGCATAAGTGCCACATGTCGATCAGTGAGTTAAACCAATATTTTATACAGGTGTTTTTTTTTTTTTTTAATGCTAGCACTGTCTAGACTATGTAGTATGGAAAAGTATGATGATTGATAAGTGGTGAATTGGATAGGATTTGGAAGGAAGCACATGTGGCATAATGAAGTACTATCCCAGCATTTGCCTGAAGGGACTGAGAAAAACTTCAATGAAACCTTGGTCAGGATAACCAGTGTTTCTGCCAAGGTTTGAACCCATCACGTGTTTAATACAAGTCTGTAGTGATACCATGAGACTAACCTGCTTGGTTTTCCATTTTTTTTTATCAACCGGTGTTAAGTAGAAAGCAGTCTTCTGGGATTTGGCACCGTGTATATGTGGTGTTAACCGACGTTTTGGAGGAACATCGGTTAACACCACGTGTGCACGGTGCCAAACCCCAGAAGACTGCTTTCTTCATAGTCACTGCCGTGAAAGCTTCAAATCTTACACGGTGTTATGTAATTTTTCTTTTTTTGTGTAATAATCTATATAGTGACAAAATTTTGCTGGTAAGTGGTAGTAATGGTCATGACGGTGGTGATGACAGTGGCAGTGATAATGGCCACATGGGCCGTGATAACAGAAGATATATTTCCAGTTGCATCTACATGCTGTTCACATACTATTGAAATAAAAATAAATAACGATAAGATAATTATATTCAGCATATACAGAGCTCCATCAGGTAATTCTGATTATTTTCTTAATAAACTAGACGTTATACTTAATTCCTTCTACAGACATAATTTGGAATTTATAATATGTGGTGATATTACTATTAATTACACTCAACTCTCGATTATCTGGGGGCAGATTAACTGGTTTGCGGCTTAACCGGTGCTTTTTTGAGGCTTATATGTTGTTTAATATTCATTCACTTTTGTTTCACATGGTGACTTGTAACACTATTTTCGCACTAGTGTGAACTGAGCTCAGCATTTTTTGGTCCCGTTATACTAACACAGTGTTCTAGGGCAGGGGTGAAAGAGTGCAAGGATTTGTGGAAAGTTTCAAGGACAGATACACCGCCCCAATTAGTCTCTTTTTATCGATCTTCAAGTGCGTTAGCAAAATGTCAGGGTGTAAAAGGACGTGTGTTGTGTTAAGTATTCAACAGTAACTCATGTGAGCCGGGCTTCAAAATGTTAAGCAGTGACGAAATCGTAAGTTAAGTGGGGTTGCAGTCAGAAGAGTGGGAAGGACGTGAGAATGAGGAAGAGGTGGACAGTGCTGCGAGTAAGAAAGTATCACATGAAGCTGCTCTTAATCATTTGGAATCCTTACTGGTCTATCTTGAGAGTGAAGAGAAGAGTTTATTAAATGACAAGCTAATATTACATAGGCTTTGTACGGATATCCGTAAAAAGGAAAATGCTGCGAAAAAGCAAACGACAATATTAAATTTTTTAAGTGTTAAGTGTGAATATTCGTAAAAAGTGTTGGAGGTTGTTGAACACTGTGATTAAAATAACTAATTCATACTTCAGTGTAATGTAAAAAAAGTATTAAATAGGCCATGAGATGACATAAAAATGAGGTTGAATAAATTTAAATACAGGTAGGCCTATAGTATTATGAAGGTACAGTATTACAGTACTACTTTTAATAAAATTTGTCTTAACCTGGTTTTCGATTAATCGTGATTTCCATCCCCACCATTATCCCGGATAATCGAGAGTTGAGTGTATATGGAAACTAGTAGCAAAAAACCCCAATTAGATGACATGTTAAACACATATAACCTAATAGGTAGTGTATGCTTTCCTACAAGAATTGTTAATAACTCTGCTACCTTAATTGACAATATATTTATTGATAATAGAAGAAGTTATACCATAAAATCATGTATAAATGGATTGTCAGATCACAGTGCCCAGCTTATAATACTTAATAATGCCCCTGTACCAAACATGACACCCGAGACTACGTATACTGGAAATATTAATAACAACACTATAGCAGAATTTCAATATCTGTTAAGCTTGGAACTTTGGGATAATATATTCAATAATAATAATGTTAAGTTTAATAATTTTCTCAATACACATTTAAGATGTTTTTATGCTTCCTTCCCAAAAAAGCCAATTAGAGACAAAACAAAAACCATAATAAATGGTTCACTAATGGGATAAGAATCTCATGTAACAAAAAGAGAGAACTTTTTTTATTAAGTAGATATAGTTGTGGGAACTCTCCCACATACTATCACGCTGTTGTGTAAATCACAAAATTTTGTTGGATAAACTGGAATTCTATGGAATAGAAGGTATATTTAAAACACTAATTAAATCTTATGTAACTGGTAGACATCAGAGAGTTGTTTTGGGTCATATAATTGATAGTAACAATACATCTAAGTGGGAAATAGTTAAATGTGGAGTCCCACAGGGCTCGATTCTCAGCCCCATGCATTTTTTATTTTATATAAATGATTTACCTAAAATAATAAATAAGGATAATAACATGGTTCTATATGCTGATGACACCAATATTATAATTACCGATACTAATAATGTAAACTTTGAAACAAATCTTAAATAAACTTTGAAAGATATAAACACTTGGTTTAATGTTAATTTACTTACTTTAAATTTCAATAAAACTCAATATTTAGAGTTTTGGTCCATAAATTGTAACACAGTGACACAAATGAATTATGATCAGGAAAGTATCTCCAGCGTAACAGAGACTAAGTTCTTTGGTTTCATTATTGATGATGTATTATCTTGGAAATGGGGCACGCGGTAGCGTAGTGGTTAAGGCACTATGCTACAAGTCAGAAGGTCATTGGATTTTTTCAATTGACCTAATCCTTCCGGCCGCACTATGGCCCTGGGGTTCACTCAGCCTCTAACAGAAATGAGTGCAGGAATTAAATAAATAATTTTCCTGGTGAGTAAAGCGCGGCCAGCACGTAAGGCTGGCAACCTTACTGCATCTTTGAGCCAATTGTCTAGATAATTTGGGACCCTCAAAGTCTCACAACCCTATGGGCCTTCATGGCCTGTTACAGGGATAGCTTTACCTTTTTTACTTTTTATTGTCTTGGAAACAGCATATTGACCTAGTGATCAGTAGATCACATCCTCTGTGTGCTATGCATTGTGAAATATAAACCATATTGTGTCATTTGCAGCGTTAAGGCCAATCTACTTTGCTTATGTACACTCCATCATGAGTTATGGTATAATCTTCTGGGGTGGCTCCTCACATGCCAGGAAAGTGTTTATCTTGCAAAAGAAAATTATTAGAATCGTAACGAACACTAAACCTAGAGATTCTTGCAGGGATATTTTCAAGAACTTGGAAATTATGACGTTATATTTTCAGTATATATACCTACTACTTTTATATATAATTAATAATAAACATTTATTTAACTTTAATAATGAGATTCATGAATATACAACTAGATCCCAAGGTAATTTACATGTACCTAGTGTGAATACTTCAAAATTTAATAAAGGAGCGTATATAACAGGTATTAAGTGTTCAGTCATCTTCCACGATCAATAAAGATTTTGGTCAATGATGAGAAAAGCTTTAAATTTACATTAAAGGGGTTTTTATGTCATCATTATTTTTACTCTATAAATGAATACTTTCGATATAAAGAAGACAAAGGTTTGTAATCCAGATATTCTCTTGAATTGTTTGTTAGGTTGATTTTACACATGATGTATTACCCACTGACTAGTCGCTCGACATTTAAGGGTATAAATTTTATGGTAGTATGGTATTGTAATATTCTAATATTTAAATCCTGATGAAATATACTATATTTGGACTGTTAAATTAAGTATTTGTAGTTATGTGATCAAAATAATTGCATCGAACTTCTATATTATGAATATGGTGTTTTGTATTGATTTATGGTGGTGACAGCGATAATCATATATCTGCATAAATTTGATCATATTTTATATACAAATTTTGTATTGTGACTGTATTGCATGTTGATGGGTTCATTGTTTTTATGTATTTTGACCTGTTCTATATCCTATGGCATGCGTGACCTGAAAAGGATGTATGGAATTTAAAAAAAAGTAATTTATATTCATTATAACAAGTATTGAGCGAGAGGAGGCGGTCAGTTGATCAGATTTGTCTTTGCATTGAGGTGTGAGCTAGAATCTTCATGCTGAGAATAATATCTGAAAATAGGAATGAAATCTGCCATTCTGTTATACCCATTTCACTAACTAGTGAGGTACTTTGCTTAGTTAAATAATTGCAACATCCTTGGTGAGCACTGATAAGTAACTGTCATTTTTTCCCTTTTCAATATTTGTGATTGTATTTAGTATATTTTTCCCCAGAAATAACATGATTTATGAATAAAATGTATACAGTGTAATTTGTTCACCATATATTAAATTAGATCTTACATTATGAAGTTAACCCCATGGAGCATGTAATAAAACTAATCAGTGCCATGATCCAGGCTTACAAACTGTGTAGTTTCTCTTCATCAGGATTTAGAACAATGAGACACAACATGAACCGGTTTCTCACCGTATTGCTTCGGATTGCTACATAGAAGAAGTAATGTAGTTTACTCTATAGCCATGTTAACTTTTTGTTCTGAAGTAATGGTTATTTTCTTTTCAGACTCTCCAGACTAAAGAGCTGCCAGATTGTTTGGTGCCAGGACTGAAGCGTGGAGGTCTAGGTTTTGTGTACCTTGGCCTGTATCAAATTGGAACATCATTCTTTCCAGATTGTTACTTATTGGGTAATGAGTTTCAGGTAAATTTCACATTAGATCTTGTAGTTAGTGTGCTTATATATAAACCAATTTCCTAATCACATTCTGAAATTTACCATAGAACTTTCTCTTTATTTTTCTTGCTAAACTACTTTTCTCAAAGATGTCATACACGTTCCAGTGCATATCTCACCTGGCATTTCAGCAAAGGGAACAACATGACTCATTGAATCCTTTTCATGCAGTTCCAATGCAGTACACTAGTGGGAGTGGAAGCAACATGGTACTTGAGTTATAGGAGTCCACTGGCCTTTAACACATAACCTGTCATCATGGTATCCTCTCAACAATTTTGTGTGGAAATTGAAAAATCTTTCACTGATAACTGCTTAATACTCTTGAAATCAGTTAATCATACTTTGCAACATCACCACTGATCACAATACTGCAGTTACTCACTTTACTTGAGTAAGCTGCACTGCATCCAACTGCACTTGACTACTTTATATTGTTCTGCACTGAACTAAGAACTAAAAAACTGACAGCTGATGACTGAGTGACTGCACTGCTTACACCATTTTTATGGGCATGTCACCCTAAGGGAAGAGGGCATGAGGTGGTGTAGTTGGTTGAGGCACTGTGCTACAAGCCTGAAGGCCGTGGGTTCGATTACCAATGAGATCATTGGATTTTTCAATTGACCTAATTCTTCTGGCCCTGGAGTTGGCTCAGCCTGTAACAGAAACGAGTGCCGGTAATCTTCCTGGGGGTAAAGGTCAGCTGTTGCATAAGGCTGACAGTTTCACTGCCATTTGTGAGCTGATTGTCTAGAAAATGTGGGAGTCTTTTCACACAACCATATGGGCCTCCATGGCCTGTAACAGGGATAGCTTTTCCTTTACCGTAAGGGAATTTCTGAGTCATTCAGTGATGACCTGTGTCCTCATTGTCAGCCATTTTGTTTCCCAAACATTGAAGGTAGTAAGAGAGGTGCATGCATGCCTGGCATCATGGTCACATCATGCTCAGCTTCCACACCATTACCAGTACTGTTCTATGGATGATGTCATGCTAAGACCTGGGTACTGCTCTCCAGTTGGCATGATTTCACACCTAGGCCAAAGAAAGAGTTAAGAACAAAATTATACTGAATTTTGCCAAAGTAATTTTTGTTTGAATGATTATATTTTTGCATATTTTAACTTTGATAATGTGTGTCAACTGGGCTTTTGTAAGGTTCCATAGCAACATACCAACTGTAAACTGCTCAAGGAAGACTCTCTCATGGTGAAAGTTGTGGTGGATGCTTAAATAATACTGTGTAACATTATTAGGGATGATAGCAGGTGTTGTAACACAGCTTTGTATGGAAATAGATTTTTTATCCCTAATTACAGACAGTTTTTTTGTTGTATTCATTCATGAACTAAAATTTAAAACAACGTTGTTTAAGAAACTAATATATTTGATTGACATACTATAAAATAATTTCTTGCAAGATAACCTAGATAGACAAATTAAAATTTGTTTATTGAAACCTATATTAAGGTCCAAACGTTATCCGATACATTTCCTGCTCAGAACGATCTGAAGCAGGAAGATGCTTTCTTGTCTTTGTTTTTCAGTTTTGCTTTAGAATACTCCATTCAAAAAGTCTGTGAAAGTTGAAAGAAACTGGACTTGAATGGAACATGTCAGCTGTTGATTATGCTGGCAGTATTAATTTATTGGTTTAAGTGACAGTTACTGAGAAGAAAAATATGGAAACTCTGTACTGGACATTAGGAAATAGAGAAACCCAAGAGTATGCTCATGTATGCAAGACAGAGTTATAATATAAAGGCAACTGACTGCTAATAAATTCTTTCTAAAATATGGGAAAGTTCAGATGGTTGGGAATGACAGTAAGAAGTCAAGATTACATTCATGAAGATGTTACAAGCAGATTAAATTTGAAGAATATTTACTACCACTGAGTTCAGGATCTTTTATCTGCTTATCTCCTTTCTAAAGACTGAAATATGCAAAACTGTAACTTTACTTTTTTCGTTTTGTCGGAATATGAAACTTCGTGTCTAATGCTAGTTAGGAAATTTGAGTGGGGGTGTTGTGGTACTGTATTTTGCGGTAAGGGATAGGAATTGGAAGACCAAGGAAATTGCATAATGAGGAATGTCATAATTTATACTGTATACCAAATATTAGGTATTCTATATCCAATGGTCGTTTCCCAGCCTGTATCTGGATCTATTTTTGAATTTGAAATAAATTGAATTGAATTGAATTAGGATGACCAAATGAAGGATGTCTTTTGGACATGTGGTGCATCTAGGAAATTAAGGATACAAAGTTTTAGTCAGAAAACCTTATTGGCCTGGGTAATTTTAAAATTGATCAAGAAGGAATAGAACATGAGAGTGTGGAACTGACTAATGATAGGACACTGTGGCAGACTCTTATGACCATAATATTGAAACTTTAGATTCTATAAAAAGCAAGGAATTTCTTTGCTAGCTAAGCAACTGTCAGCTTTCTAAGAATGTTTGAGACCACTCTCTCTGAATATATATATGGTATAAGAAATGAATTCCAGTTTTAAGATATTCATTATTCACATACAAACATTTTATTCAAATTTACCTTCTGACTTACTTTTTATTCACAGATGAATGTCTTAATTGAACAGAAATTTCAGTGTGTTGAAAAGTACTGCAAATTTTTAGGGCAATATTGTTTTACTCTGTTTATGATAATTGTAAATTTTGCTAACTGGTGCATGTGTAATTTTTTGTCTTATGTGTTTGTTTGGTTACAGGAGCTACCATTTTGGAAGCAGTGTTTAACACTTGGTATCTGGGGCAAGATCACATTATACAAGTATATTTCATGCTGGCTTATCTCAGAGGGTGTGTGCATCATAGCGGGTCTGACGTACAATGGCAAAGACTCGTCAGGCAAACATCAGTGGGATGGTTGTGCCAATGTTAAACTTCGAGTCTTCGAGGGAGCCTCCAAATTTGGGCATTACATCGCTTCATTCAACATCAATACCAACCACTGGGTGGCGCAGTCAGTAAACCTATTTTAATGTTACAGCAGTAGGAATGGTAGGAGTCTGAAAAATGAGAAACTTCAGGTTTGCATGAAGAGCAAAATTTGTAACAGACACTGATATAGAGTGCTTTTGCTATTTTGATTAATACCTGCATGTTTCTCTAATGTTGATCTACAACTATATGCAGATATTATATGACATATAACTTCTTACATTATTTCATTAGTTCATCTGTCCTGCACTGGAGGCTGTTTCTTCATGCTTGCTTACTATAGGTGCACAAAGAAATTTGGATATAGCATTGGAAAGAATCAGGACATAAGACTTTTGAGTTAACAGTCATATCCCAAGACAGAAGTAGTGTTTTATATAAATGAGGGAAATTACCCAGTGCTCCACAGTTGTCAGCTCACTGGATCTTATTTTTCTGGAATAGCTTCGACTTGGATGTATTATCATGTTTGTATGTTTAGTTACTATTTTTGTATTATTCACTAAAGTGGAACACCTGTTTGATGATCATACTTTAAGGGTTTCCTTCATGTAATCTTCAGTTTCAGTGATCCTGAACTAATGTCAGTGTTAAATTTCCTCCATTTAAGATTTTCCACAGTTTAATGTTCAAGTCAGCTGTCTCTAAAAAATCTTAAATAGGGGTTTCATTGTATATCTTGTTGGTGGGAGAGGTGTGGCAAGTTGATTATGAAAATAACAGGTTATTGCACAGGGTGTCCCAGAAGGAAAGGTCAATATTCTGGGAGGTCATAGTATCGGCCATTGTAAGCAAAAAAATGTGTATATGTATATGTGCCCTATTCCGAACAGTTTCCAAGAACTGTTTTGCCTACAGTTCCAAAAATGTTGATATGAAAGAGATAGATAGTACATACTGTTTTAAATAGCCGGTGTTTATTTTTTGAGTGACACGGTTGGTACAGTTAACCTAGTATAATACATTTTTTAAAATTCCACCATCAACATCAGTACACTTTACAGCTCGTTTGTGGACATGGTGTATTGGTCATCTGTGTACTGTACAGTAAAATAGCTCCTGCCTCCATCTTTGGTGTAATAGGAGATTACAGAATAAATCTTTTTCCATTCTTTTATCAGATTTCTTTGATGCAGCGTCATGGATTTTGATACTTTAGGACATAAAAATGAAGTTCACTCATCTACTATTCTAATTGAATAAAAAAATTATAAACCTGAAACTCTTCAGGACAACATTCGTCCCACTGCAGGTATGTTCACCTCTGATATCACCCATTTGGGAGAATTTCTGACTAGAAAAAAGTCCATGTTTCAGAAGTTTCAGAAATGTAGTTTCCATTTAGGATCATGTAAGTTCACAAATGGATGGGTTGTCAATCTGCTACAAGAATTCACAAATTAATTCAAAGATATACTTGTGCAGTATTTGAAATATGTTAATCACTGATATTCTGAAATTTTTGTATGTGAAAGTGAATGCAATGCAGTTCTTTGAAATTGTGCAAAAGACAGTCACTAATAATACATTATGGGGTAGGCCAGAAATTGCATTAGTATGTGTAATTACCTCAAGTCACATATAGAAAATGTCAGCAAATTCATCGCCACAAGTGTAAAAAAATTACACTACCCAGAAATCATGTGTTTTACCTCCATGACATGGTGCTTAAGCACAGGGACATTATGTCTACTATATTTACAGATAAATTCAGGTTTTTCCATTACTTGTTATCCAGTACAAACATACTGTCACGTGGTGTGACTAGAGATGAGGTTTGGACTGGTAACTGGATTTATTGGTCACTTATACATGTAACTGCAAATAACTACAACAGTCTCACTGAGTTACATGCTCCAAAGATCAGTGTAACTACAGCAGACAAAATCTCAGTATTTACTAGCCGTTGCTTGGTAGTGGCTTCAGCTGTGGACGTTCCTCATACTCTGGGTTCCCAAACTGACCCCTAGCCACATATTTTCTCAAAGGACCTCAAGCTTCGCATTATTGGCCTATATCATTGCTTTCATCCTTCCTTGTTTGGCTTCCATTTTGGGCAGCATTTCTTCTTGGTTGGCTCTCATGTTCTTTAGATTGATGTTCATCTTATCTTGGTTGGTTCTACTTTCAGCCTTCATTTCAGCTAGCAGACTTTTTTTTGTGTGTGTGTGTCTTAACAGTGCAGTTAGTCCAAGACTAATGATCATTTCTCTTCTGACTTAAACTATTACTACTATAACTAAACGTCTAACACTATGCCCACCGGTATGTCCTGGAATCTGGTGTCTTGAACATATTCTTAATACACTAGTTCAAGCGACTTGAGTCTGCATCTCAGTATTCTCACTAACGCGCACTTACACTTACAGATGGCTTGAGTCTCTTGAGCCTTCTCACTGTCCTCTCGTTGTCAAGAAGCTGCATCGCTTCCACGTTGCTGTGGTGGTGAAGCCGATCTTTATGCTTCTTGACTATCCTTTTAATTTTGACAGTGACCATCCTAAGCTAGCAGACCTGCCATCATTTGCTCCATCTCTGTAGTATGCCCATATAACAATCTACTGTGGTCTTCAGCCTAGTAATTCAGTCCAGTTGATCACTCAATCCAGTCCCACTTCTGATATCAGTTGTCATTTGATGGAATGTTGATAGACAGGGTTTGGATTTGTTATCGAATTTATTGAATTCTTAAACAACTCATAATTACAAATAACTATGACAGTCTCACTGAGTTACACATTCCAAAGGTTACTGTAACACTACAGCACATATGAAGTCTTCTCAGACTTCACTAGCCTTTGGTTGGTAGTGGCTTGCAGCAGCAGACATTGTACTTCCTCTGGGTTTGCAAACTGATCCCGTCCTAAACAACCACGCTTCTCACTTCTCACAACTGCAACTCTGAACTGACTCCACCAGACTACTAGTCCCCATTATATAGTCTCAGCATGGACCGCACAGAAAACGTTTCTTCCATTATTGTGTGTTCTCTCACTGCCAGGAAAACATGTCCACAGAGCTCTTCCCTAGCAGTGGCTGTTATACTGTTGCGTGTTTCAGCAGTGGGTCTACATTTCACAATACTTTAACATAAAAGCATATGGAAGTTGGACGCCAGAGAAAAGAACCCATCATTTTAAGGACAGTTGGTATCCAGTGAAACAAGTTTACTTGTAATGTTATTGGTATGAACAAACATTTCATTTCTTCATCCACATCTGCTTTCACCAAACTAACTATGGTAATGAACATAAGTTTCTAGTTTTCTTATACTATAAATACTGTATCTATAAATTTCATATCCTACCCTCTGTTGTAGCCCTTGTTATTCTGTCTTGAAATATTAACTACTGATTTTTAAATTTGCATTCACCAACTGTTGTGTTCATATATTAAAGGGACCTTTGCATTTAAATTGTGAATACAGTTTCAAGTTTATATTGTGAATTGTATACCCATTGCTAGGCATCAGCTCACGCAACCGTAGGACTAGGCAACGGATTGCTAAACAGACCTCCTTAACAGCAGAAGCTGTGTTTTCTGTATGGTCTGTGCAAAATGGTCATAAAGAAGTGTTCAGCAGTATAGAGTTAGTTGTCAGAAGTTGAGAGAGTTAGTTATTGAGAATTGGGTCAAATTCTGAAGATGGCAGTCAAAATAATTAAGAAGAAATTGCAAGAAAGAAATCAGGCAGTGCAAATAAGACTTAATGTTATTTGAATTTATGGTGTGGCAGTTATAAATCCATTGCCTGGATATGACTAGTGAAGACTGAGAACCCTAGTATGTGTGCAGTGATGCATTGTGAAGCGTGTAGAATAGCAATGGTGCTGTATTACCCATAGTCCCTAGTTGTGAATGTATACAGTGCAGTAAATCAAATAATCAGATCCAGAACTTGTCTTATAAGTGAAGTGCAAAACCCTTGCACTTGACAGTATGAGTCACCAGTATACAAAAATGGTTTGCCAAACAGTTCATTTCATGAAGAAAGCAGTCTTCTGGGATGTGGCATCATGTAGATGTGGTGTTAACCAACGTTTTGGAGGAACGTATCGCCTCCATCTTCAGGGTAGAAGGAAAAAATAAGAAATCCGCAAGCAGAGAGACTGTGAGAATCGGTACAAGCAGACTGCTTATTTTTTCCTCCTACCCTGAAGATTGAGGCGATACGTTCCTCCGAAACGTCGGTTAAAACCACATCTACATGGTGCCACATCCAAGAAGACTGCTTTCTTCATAGTCACCACCGTGAAAACCTCAAATCTTACATAGTTCATTTCATAATTTGAATTATAAACACCAGTATATACATAAACACATTGGGTGGGGCAAAAAGTGACGTGTGAGAAAATAGCAAAAGTGAATGGCTCTTTGGAGTCAAATGAAACTTGTGCAAGTTGTGCAGAACATACTTAAGTATGTGTATAATTCACTTTAGTTGATTCATTACACGTAAACATATTGTAACGTGTTTTGCCACTAAAGACGCCGTTCAGATTGTTAATTTCTTTATTTAACAACCTGCAAGTCTTGGCTACAATTAATTATAACAATGTTACAGGTTTACACACTTTACAAACCCTACACACAAATCTCTTCACACTGTCCTCAGTAGTCCACACGTATTCACAGTACGATACAGGAGCTATTCCAGTGTCACTGTGTCACACACTCCCAATTACTTCTCTTGTGAGCCAAGCATCTGCTTCTCACACTATCACTTCTAATCACACGTTCCAATATTCTTCTTTCCACTACAACTGAACTCGGCGACCGCTCCAATTCAACTGTCTCTGGCGACGTCTACATTTCAACTGTCTTCGGCGGCTGCTGATCACTTCTAACTCACTTCTAACTGCTCACTTCCGACTAACTCATAACTAACTCTTGAATAGTCTTCGCTTCTCCTTATTTAGCCTTGTTGTGGACAACACAGAAAACAGTTACGTAATAGGCAGCACTGTTGTGTGACATCGTGTTTACCGACTGCCTAGGAACAGTTGTTGCACGAACTCCCCACCGTGTTTACAAAGGCATTGCTGGGCAGCGCTGCCAGGAGTTGTTTACGGCTACGTAGCAACTGCGGCGTCCCGTGTTACGTCACCGCAGGGAAAGGGGTGTCTACCGAGCATTGCACACTGATGGACAGAGTGGGAGTATGTGATGTCACTCGCAAGATCACAGAGTTCACGTGACCCCTACCTCCCACTACGCCATCCACATCACAATATTTTCCATTTTAAATTTTAAAATTCATCATTTTTATACTCATATACATACTTTTCAGAAATGTTAAATGATTCTATAGTTGAATTTGTTAGGTCCACAAAATTTTTACTAAATTCTCCAGATTTAAATCTATTAGATCACCATGCTTGGAATGAGCTTAAATAACAGTTAATGTACAGAAACCAGAGCGAACTATTTGAATTCCTGAACCTAATGAATAGAGAAATGAAAATATGTGACCTCCTGTCACTTGATAACATCTGACCAAGGGAAAAGGTGGATTCACGCTGTAAACCAAGAAAATAGGGATCCTATTCAACATTAATTCTGATAAGAAGGTGTGATTAAATTATAAATAAAATTTAACATTCAAAATTAAGAATATTTTTCTGTGTAGCATGTCATTAAAAACAGAATAAATCTTTGTGTACACATACACGTGTTTTGTGTAATTTATATGTATTTTATTTAAATGCATAGACTTTTTATTTTTACCATTTTGGATTAGAGATTGGATTTAATGACAGTTTCAGCACAGGAGTCATGTGTTTGCTTTCTGTATTTACACACAAAGCTGTTGCCTGTCCCAGCCCCCCACTGCATGGGGGAATGGTGGTCAGATGGTCATTGATGTCCTCTCCCGGCGTGGACCAAGTATGGAACAGTTGATTTGTCATTAAAATTCGTGATAAATATCATGAATTCTGATGACTGACCAGCTGCTCCTTACACTCTCCATGCTGGGACAGGACATCACTGGCCACCTGACTTTGCCTTCTAGTCACCACACAATCTGGCCTGGGACACACAGCAACACTGTGTATAAATATATCTTGCATACACAACCCTCAGGACAACACCGCTCATTGATAGAGACAGAGACAGTCTCCAAAATGTCCAACACCAATTCCATGTTGATACAGCTGGCTTCCTGAGAAGGCTTCAGTGTTGTGTGGTTAAAATTAATGTCAGAGGAAGTTATGATAACAGTCCAAAATTTTTTCCTCCCATCCCCAAATTATGAACGGTAAAGCACTGCCATGGTACAGCAACACAAGATACTTCCTTTGAGAACTGATAACATTAACATGATGTCTTGAAAAATTAATTCTGGTCTTGTATAACGGGTGGGCCTTCTCGGCCCTTGCACCGCGACCTACAGTGGTCTTTTGTGCTTAATTCTGGTCTTTGTGTTGTATGAAGGAGAATCAGTAAATATGTCACAAATGGAAGTAAAACAGCTGTAATGAACTTCATAGGTTTTCTGTGTGTGTCACTAGGTAGCAGGACAGACCAGCTTCATGAGAGTCTAGGTAGCAGACGTTCAGAGGCTGGTTTCAGTAGTCAAAATGGCGACCATGCTTAAGGAGTATGCTACTAAAGAGCAGCATTCTATTGTGTGTTCTTTATCGACAGAAGGAATCAGTGCAAAGGATTTTTATAAATAAATATTTTGTGTTTATGGTGGGAAGTGTTGGTTTGCATAAAGCTGTTCACACCTGGCTGGCAGACATTTTGCTGCTGACAAAGAGGCTGAAACCGAGGTGCGTAAGTGGCTGAGACAAGAGTCAGAAGACATTTATGCTACTGGTTTCATTGCACTGTTAAAGCGATGAGACAAGTGTATCGATGTTGGTAGAGGATATGTCAAGAAATAAACGTTTTTTCCTGGTTCGAATATCACATGTTTTACATTTTATATCCATTCGTGACTTATTTACTGGCTCTCCCTCATATTATAATTCAACAAAGTATAAACTTGTCGCCGTTACAGTCTACACTGTTCTTTTTACAGGTATATATACAAACGCCTGAAGTTCCTGGGAAATCGCTATATATCGCAGGCAGCAGCACTTATATTCCTTGCAGTTTGGCATGGCCTGCATTCCGGGTACTACATGTGCTTCTTACTTGAGTTTGTTATAATGAAACTCGAGAAAGATGTGAGTATAAGCGTTCTGGATTTCAATTTTATCTGGAGTAATGGGTACTAATTGAAGTCTTCATCATTCTGATGTTCTCAAGGTCACATCTGTTGAAATTTCAGTAGCAGGTATCTGTCATAAGATACAGATTCTGTACTGACTGTACAATTTATTGTTGCTGCTCATGTTCTGAAGCATCTTGTTTTAAAGATGAACATTGAACCAGACCTTTATGCAGTGTCTCTTTTGCTACTTGAATGTAGCTTAATATTTCTTGCATTCTCTGTAGATAGAATGAAGTTTGATATTGGATGGTTTACACAAAACCTTGTCTGTCAGATTTGATCTTGGTTATCAGCTGAATGTAGAACTTACTTACATTTGATGTGATGGTCTAGTCAAGCTGTTCATTTGCTCAGAAATGGTTAATTGTGCAAAATAACGTGTAACAAAGTGTCCCTCATTTATTTGTAGTTTGTTAAGAACACTTTCAACATTTTCTAGCATCTTAGATTATTGAATGATACTGTGTTTAGTGAACTGGAAAGGATGTAGAAGGAAGCTAGCTTGCTGTTCACTGGACTGTGATGCTTGATGACAAAATATAGATCCCATTAAGATCTGTGACTTTTTTTGAAACATTTCTGATTAAAAAATACAGGATGAAAAAAAAAATCATGTGTGGGCTCTCCATAGTATGATTCCTTGTTTAAAAATAAATAAAAATGTTGTACAACATACGATCTGAGATGCATGTGATTTGCCTGTGAATG